TAGGATATATATAATGTCACATTGGTTTGTATAGGATATATATAATGTCACATTGGTTTGTATAGGATATCTGTAATGTCACATTGATTTTTATAGGATGTCTATAATGTCACATTGGTTTGTATAGGATGTCTATAATGTCACATTGGTTTGTATATGATTTCTGTAATGTCACATTGGCTTGTATAGAATATCTATAATGTCACATTGGTTTGTATAGGATTTGTATAAAATCACATTGGTTTGTATACGATATCTATAATGTCACATTGGTTTGTATAGGATTTGTATAAAGTCACATTGGTTTGTATCAGATTTTTATAATGTCACATTGGTTTGTATAGGAGATCTATAAAGTCACATTGGTTTGTATAGGATATCTATAATGTCACATTGGTTTGTATAGGATTTGTATAAAGTCACATTGGTTTATATCAGATTTTTATAATGTCACATTGGTTTGTATAGGATTTGTATAAAGTCACATTGGTTTGTATCAGATGTTTATAATGTCACATTTGTTTGTATAGGATATCTATAATGTCACATTGGTTTGGCTATGATATCTATGAGGTCACACTGGTTTGTATAGGATATCTATAATGTCAGTTTGTATAAGATATATATAATGTCACATTGGTTTGTATAGGATTTGTATCAAGTCACATTGGCTTGTATACGATATCTATAATGTCACATTGGTTTGTATAGGCTATCTATAATGTCACATTGGTTTGTTAACGATATCTATAATGTCCCATTGGTTTGTATAGGATATCTATAATGTCACATTGGTTTGTATTTGATATCTATAATGTGACATTGGTTTGTATAGGATATCTATTATGTGACATTGGTTTATATATGATATATATAATGTCACATTGGTTTGTATATGATATATATAATGTCACATTGGTTTGTATAATATATCTATAATGTCATATTGGTTTGTATAGGATATCTATAATGTCACATTGGTTCGTATAGGATATCTGTAATGTCACATTGGTTTGTATAGGATATCTATAATGTCACATTGGTGTGTATAGGATATCTATTATGTGACATTGGTTTGTATTTGATATCTATAATGTCACATTGGTTTGTATAGGATATCTATAATTTCACATTGGTTCGTATAGGATATCTGTAATGTCACATTGGTTTGTATAGGATTTGTATAATGTTACATTGGTTTGTATAGGATATCTATATTGTCACATTGGTTTTTATAAGATATCTATGAAGTTTTATTGGTTTGTATAGGATATCTATAAAGTTACATTGGTTTGTATAGGATATCTATAATGTCACATGATTTGTATAGGATATCTATAATGTCACATTGATTTGTATAGGATATCTATAATGTCACATTGGTTTGGCTATGATATCTATGAGGTCACATTGGTTTATATAGGATTTTTTATAATGTCACATTGGTTTGCAAAGGATATCTATAATGTCACATTGGTTTGTTTAGGATATCTATAATGTCACATTGGTTTGGCTATGATATCTATGAGGTCACATTGGTTTATATAGGATTTTTTATAATGTCACATTGGTTTGTAAAGAATATCTATAATGTCACATTGGTTTGTATAGGAGATATCTATTATGTGACATTGGTTTGTATTTGATATCTATAATGTCACATTGGTTTGTATAGGGTATCTATAATGTCACATTAGTTTGTATAGGGTATCTATAATTTCACTTTGGGTTGTATAGGATATCTATAATGTCACATTGGTTTGGCTATGATATCTATGAGGTCACATTGGTTTATATAGGATTTTTTATAATGTCACATTGGTTTGTAAAGAATATCTATAATGTCACATTGGTTTGTATAGGGTATCTATAATGTCACATTAGTTTGTATAGGGTATCTATAATGTCACTTTGGTTTGTATAGTATATCTATAATGTCACATTGGTTTGTATATGATATTTATAAGGTCACATTTGTTTGTATAGGATATCTATAATGTCACATTTATTTGTATAGGATATCTATAATGTCATATTGATTTGTATAGGATATCTATAATGTCACATTGGTTTGGCTATGATATCTAAGAGGTCACATTGGTTTGTATAGGATTTTTTATAATGTCACATTGGATTGTAAAGGATATCTATAATGTCACATTGGTTTGTTTAGGATATCTATAATGTCACATTGGTTTGGCTATGATATCTAAGAGGTCACATTGGTTTGTATAGGATTTTTTATAATGTCACATTTGTTTGGAAAGGATATCTATAATGTCAGATTGGTTTGTATAGGATATCTATAATGTCACATTGGTTTGGCTATGATATCTATGAGGTCACATTGGTTTGTATAGGATTTTTTATAATGTCACATTGGTTTGTAAAGGATATCTATAATGTCACATTGGTTTGTATAGGATATCTATAATGTCACACTGGTTTGTATAGGATATCGATAATGTCACATTAGTTTGTATAGGGTATCTATAATGTCACTTTGGTTTGTATAGGAGATCTATAAAGTTACATTGGTTTGTATAAGATATCTATAATGTCCCATTAGTTTGTATAGGGTATCTATAATGTCACACTGGTTTGTATAGGATTTGCATAAAGTCACATTGGGTTGTATAGGATATCTCACATTGGTTTGTAGAGGATATCTATAATGCCACATTGGTTTGTAAAGAATATCTATAATGTCACATTGGTTTGTATAAGATATCTATAAAGTCTCATTGGTTTGTATAGGATATCTATAAAGTTGCATTGGTTTGTATAGGATATCTATAATGTCACATTAGTTTGTATAGGATATCTATAATGTCACATTGGTTTGTATAAGATATCAATAAAATCTCATTGGTTTGTATAGGAGATCTATAAAGTTACATTGGTTTGTATAGGATATTTATGACGTCACAATATTGGCATATCTTTCACGTGTCGCTGCTTGATATATATATCACATTAGTCAGTATATCTACAGGTGACATTGATGAGAAAATCTAGAAGATATAATTGATTGGTATACCTTAAACATATGTTTTTTTAAAAACATTTCACATTAAGTGTAGTTTCATTTTGATTCATAACGTTACATTGATTTTTTTATCTATAGCGTCACATCAATTGGTACATTTTTATCCATAATGTCACATTGATTGGTTAATATACAACGACACATTGATTGTTATTTTTATCATAACGCCAAAGCGATTGGTATACATGTATCTATGACGTCAATTTGACTAGTGTATTTATGGCGTCACATTGATTTATATATCTATGACATGACATTGATTTATTTCTCTATACTGTCACATCGATTTGTATATCTATAATGTCACAGTGATTTGTATGTCTATAACGTCAAACTGATTGGTAAACAATATGTATACATAACAACAAATTGATTTGTATATCTAAAATGTCACATTGCTTTGTATATCTATAATGTCACATTGATTTGTATATCTATAATGTCACATTGATTTGTATGTTTATAACGTCAAACTAATTGGTAAACAATATGTATACATAACAACAAATTGATTTGTATATCTATAATGTCACATTGATTTGTATATCTATAATGTCACATTGATTTGTATGTCTATAATGTCACATTGATTTGTATGTCTATAATGTCACATTGATTTGTATATCTATAATGTCACATTGATCATCCATTGTTTCTTTTATTAGTGGTGATGCATGCATAAATTATAACCAGACTTTAAAAAATGCTAATTATTCCGTTCATATTCTCAACAAATGGAAATCAAAAGCTATGAAATTTTAGACGATGAAAAATAAATGTACACGTTGACCTATTCATTGGTTTAATGCGGCTCTTTTTGAAGATACCTCTCGGTAGAAATATTACCAGAACCTGGTTTACGACAAAAATGATCTTCAGATTTTTTTCTTTCTGTGCCTGTGACAAAAACTGAAATAAAAAAATCATGAAGCACCGACAAAGAGATATATGCAGCGGACATCAGTTTCAAGATTTTCCGGTATTTTTCATCCTTCTGGAAGTAACCGATGAAGGTCGATGGAGACTGACGTGCTTGTGACGTCATAGTATGATAACCTCTGAACAAAGTTTCATGCCTGCTTGTATCATAATTTATGTGATAGATTTTTTCACTCAGAATGTATATTAGTTTTTATCTAAATATTTTCAATATATGAAGATGTTCATGTAAGGGTTGAAACAAAATTGTCTTTGCTTCAAGGATACCCTTCCGGTTTCCCCACTGGACGTCTACTTCCGGACGCTCTTATTATCAGATTTTATTCGACTTTTTTATGATGGTAAAAAGTTTTTGAGGGTTTCTTAATACCAGATGTAATTCTCATACTTTTATATTTCAGAATATTTATTGTTCAGATCTTAGATAAAAAGAAATTTGACAACAGGCAAAGCCCATGAGCGCCCTCTAATAACAGTAATAAATGGTTTACACATATCATATTGAATTGGAGTAACGGTAAAAAATATATATTATATATATTGATAATTGCAGGTCATTATCATTGTTTTGAAAATTGTTGTTACAGAAACTAGATTATACAAAACATAAGCAAACGATGCTGGTGGACAGCACATAGTACAAGTGTGTGCTGGTATCATTCCACACAGCAAAGTCATGTGCAAGAAGACAAACAAGTATATGTAATCTAGTTAAAGCGTCTACCATCGTTAATGAATCTTTGAACCTTCTCCAGAATACTCGATTCATATTGATGTTAAGTCTTCGGCATCCATAAAGAATAGTGATAAAGAATTAAGGGTAGAAATGGAGTTCGAGAGAATCGCCTTTGATTAGTAAACAGAGTACAATGGAGGAAGAAGTGATCACAATCCTCAACAGGAGAACTACATAAGCAGGCAGGGGTATCAATTAGGTGAGATTCAAATAGATCTGAATTCAGGTTACTGACACAGTTTCTAAGTTGACAAAAGATGATATTAAATTTTCGAACACGATTTAATAATAGACTTTATTTAAATTCGTATTACATTGAGTCAAGGACTCATCTCACATGTGGTCGACGTAAAATATACAATATTTACAACATGAGTAAAAAAATAAGATACATAGCTTACATGCACATATGAAATTCATTAGGTTAAGATAGCAGCATAGCACAGGTAAGATTATAGTATCACAGGTTTGGAAAGTCAAGAATGTGTCACATGTGTAATTATAAAATTAGTGAGTTGATGAAATGTCATGTAAAGCATAAGCGCTCATAATGCATTTTAGAAATTAAGAAGCGCATAGTGTGTCTAATGTACAGTTATACTAATATGGCAAATTGTAAAAAATGACCGAATATATGCTAATATAGCATGAGCTAAGACCAAAACAGATATTGCAGAACATAAAAAAAAATATTTTTAAAGTGTAAATAAACCTAAAATTATTACACATGTGACATAGGCATAGGAAAACAGCATAAAACATTAGGAGACACATATAGCTATCTATTTCCATCCCAATTCTGATATATATGTATATATTGTTAAAATATTTTCTGCTTTGTGAATTGAAAGTATTCAGTGTCCGACTTTCAGTGACAGATACTGGCAGGCTGTTCCAAAGGGTGGGACCATTGTATCTAAAAGAATTTTAGAATTTTTCCTTGTGTTTTGGTACAAAATATCTGCCTATTGTAGATGATCTGGTTTGAATGGAGTGAACACTGCTTACAAGAGTGTTGCAATTCAGATAGTTTGAACACAATTTGTTTATCACTTTAAAGATTAAAACACATTCATTACATTCTACTTTTTGGGTAAAAGGCAACCATTTAAGTTAGACAAATAATTGTGCACTGCGAACACTATAATCCGCATCTAAGATGATTCGAAGGGTTCTTTTTTAATTCTTTCAAGTTAACTTACTAATTTGTTAGAGCAATGTCCCCAAATGTTTGAACAAACATCAATGTATAGTAGAATAGAACAATTGTGAAATGTGATTCTGGCTGACACTGGAAGGAATTTCTTAATCCTATATAATTGATAAATTTTAAAATCGATTTTCTTAAGCACATCTTGTACATGTTTATCCCAAGTTAGGGTATCATCAATGCATACTCCAGGCAGCTTTTCATACTTAACATTCTGTAGGTTTGAGTTATCAGCTACACTAGTAAGACCTTTTGTAATCGTTTGTTTCTTCTGCTTACTTCCAATTAACATGACTTTGGTTTTGTCAGTATTTATGACCATTTTATTCATAGCACACCAGTTTTGCACTTGCATACAATTATTCTGTAGGTATAATTCAATGACACTGATGTCATTGTGTGCTTTTTGCATGGCAATATCATCTTGTTTAGATCAAAGTGCGAATAATTGACATATATCAAAAATATCAAAGGCCCGAGTATTGAAATCGGAGGGACACCGGTTTTAATTTCACAAAAACTACTTTTTGAAATTTTAAAAGATACCTATTGAAATCTATTAATCTATTATGGTATACAATATGGCGGCTTTGTAGTACGTGTAGGTCCGACAATTACAATGTTCAGACAATGGTCATAGAACACTGTAACACATATATTTTCTTCAGTTTATATATATGCTCATACTTTTAAACTTCATCCCTCAGCAAACCTGTTTGGTATTATTGTAATGGCTAACAACAAAGTTGTTGTAAGGTAAGGTCACAGCTGATACTTCAATATTCAAAATTGATTTCAAACTCAAGAATTTGTTTGGATTTTTTTTAAACATTTTTATATATTTCATCTTTTGTTCATAACGTTGATCTCATCAGTCAGGTCCAAGTTAACAGAAAAGGTTTAAACACAAACTGTTCTTTCTTGTCCTTTATCATAAAAGCTGTTATATTCCGTCTGTAGGCGTCCGTGCAATCCATGCAGATCGTGGCTCCCCTTTAGGTGATATTCTTGAGTCCATCTTATGTAAATCGTCGGTTTTTCTAATCATATGACTGGTAGCAGACGTTCAAATTTTTTTCGATAAATGATGGGTTTTCATGTAGCGGTTTTGGTCAGTGTCCCCAGATACGTCGCTTGCTAGGGACGGGATGTTGTCAAACATATCCTCCCAGTGGTAATCCTGGGCGTTGCGTGAGCACTGCGTTATCTTTGTTTGTACTGCGTCCCTATGGGGGATGGCGATGTGAAGTAGGAGGTTGCACATTTCGTCCGCATGACTATACCTGTAAACAAAAAACAAACATTTGAAACGTTTGTTACTTCATTTGCAGAAGCAGTCGAATCTTTAGAATTTCAAAAATATGTTTCTGACTTTACAAATGTTATCAATATGTATGGTATATAGTGTACTTATTGTCACTATCGTCATAACTTCGCCCTCATTACGGAGGTGTGTGTGTGTGTGTGTGTGTGTGTGTGTGTGTGTGTGTGTGTGTGTGTGTGTGTGTGTGTGTGTTGAACTGCGGCGAAAATGTCCCAGTATAGTGTAGCATTCGTCTTGAGAAATTAAAAATCAAAGAAATCTGATACATGGGATCGCGTAATCTGCTCAAATTCTGTAGTGTAAGTCTGTTATATACACCTACCCCATCTGAACGTCTGTAGCATCGTGGTTGTCATAGGTACAACGTGTGGCCTGTTGATAGAACATTTGTAAATATTAGTAACAATCAGTGTAGAATACAAAGAATGTTCATATGTTTTACGTTCCGGCAATGACACGGATTCGGATACATGTGAACAATTATCAAAACACATTCACCCAGATTACCTATATACATAATGTTTACATAAAATCATAAGATATTCTGCTCTTCGTATTTCTATGGCGATAAATCAATTTTGTTAGACGAAAAAGATTTGTTGATCAAGAATGTGACGTGTAACGACGGACTAGAATCTGCCTGTAAAATGTTGTCCACATACCCAAAGAAGCACGCGCTAGTACTGTATTCTGGTTTCGTAATGGTTTTCATGATGATTGATTTAATACATTACATGTATTTCTATAAATCAAAGCGGACATGCAATGGCCTGCTACTCTGTAGGTGGTATTGGGATATACTGTCATACAATTATTATATTAAATTTCAGTCTTATTACGTATTATTCAAACCTGCATAGCATGCTATGGATTATGTCGAGACGCCTAATTCGGTTCAGTGTCAATATGACAAAAACAATCCTTCTTGTTGGCTTGTTAAATAAGGAAGTTTAAACTTGATGTATTTTGCAACAATTATGGAACAATTCATTTCAACTTACGAAAATAATTACGTAGACCTGCACCGCGGTCAAATAAAGTGTATACGTATTTATTGGATTACTAGAAAGGGTCGATTAGCTTGCCTGTCAGTCATCTAGATGCGCAGAAAGATGATAACCGGTATTATTTATAGTGACACATTGTGGCCAGGATGTTTTTAGTGTACTTTTATCTTAGTGTTATTACCTGTGCAGTTGGGAGACAAAACAGGATTTCGCGGCCCGTTTACTTCGATACAGTAAATGTGCGGAAATAAAAATAGGCTTTCTGTTTGAGAATTACCATTGACGTGTATTATATTAATAACATATTTCTATGTTTTTATAATAATTAAGTTTCTTGATTAACATATTGTATAAAACCAATTCTATATGTATTCATTTTTTTTATTTTTTTTAGTTGCCCCACATATTTATGTAAGTATATATGAAGCAACTATAAGTCATGCTATAGAAAATTAAATCCAAATTGCGTTTAAAAAGCATTATATGCATTTACCCACGTAACTGATATGAATATCAGTTGTGCAAATGTCCATTTCCATAAACATGCTAATGCGTAATAATTCTTATCAAACCTAAAAAAGCCAAAACGAACATGGGTTATCGTTATTGCCGCTGTCAATCAAGGACATAAATCTGTTTTAAAATTTATTCTGAAAAAAATCTTTAATTATACTAGATAAGAATGTTGTTTTCACTCTTCGAGGAAAAGGGTTGTTATACAAGCTTTCATATAACAGAAACGTGGTATAGACATCCTATTTGTAATTCAGAAGGTCATGCGGGGTTGATCTACGTTTTGGAGGTGTAACCGTGCACCTTTATTAGAGCTTAACGACTTAAACGTTAGGTTCCTAGAATATCATATCATGTTTACTCAATATAACTTTATAATTACACTACCTGATGTCTATTTGACACTATCCAATGTCGTGTTTGTATATCTTACGTTCCTATATCATAACGTCATACTTGCACCATATCACATCATGTTTACTCAATCTAACTTTATAATTACACTATTCGATGTCTATTTGACACTATCTAATGTCATGTTTGTATATCTTACGTTCCTATATCATAACGTTATACTTGCACCATATCACATCATGTTTACTCAATCTAACATTATAATTACACTATTCGATTTCTATAATTGACACTATATAATGTCGTGTTTGTATATCTTACGTTCCTATATCATAACGTCATACTTGCACCATATCGCGTCATGTTCACACTTTATAACGTCGTTTTTAATTATATTACGTTTACACCATATTACGTCGATTTCCACGGTATTTATTAAAACTATACTTACCACAACGTCGCCAGGCCGGACGTACATGTGCTTGTGAGATATGTCATACGTCAGCTATAAAACATAAAATACAAAACATCAAAGAACAGCAGCTATTGTTACACAATCGATCAACTAAGACCATATGTGAAGTCGATACATGACATTGTTGGTGCGATATCGTTCAAGGTTGTTACTATTCCATTGATTCAAGATAGAAATGGAACAATCAAACTAAAAGATACTAGAAATATAGAAATATATTAGAAATGACAGTAACATACTAGTAAATGTTTATGAACTGTTAATTGAGATATCAACTCCCAATCATGTTTATAGATACAACTACAATTTCCGTGTTCGTTTGGCAAGTATATTCTAACTGTAATAGTAAGCTAATAACTAATTAACTAATAACCACAAAACCGTAGTTGTCTACTTCGTGTTATGTAAGAGGTCAAGTGTCACCCATCAAGTACACAATACAAGACTATACAATCATCCCGTCTTGATCAGGCTAAATTGTCTTTACAAATAAATGATTGTTTTCCTTACCATTGAATATTGTGGATCAACACGTCCTAACTCTATCCATGTACCGTTCCTAATTATGTATGCCGATGTTGCAACGCCTGAAAGTATAACAAAATCATATCGAATCACAACATTTAAAAAAAGGATATCTAAAGGATTACTTATTTTTGAAGTAACTTACAATTATATTAATTTTTCATAATTATGCCAGCAAATCCTAATACTGTATTTTTTCTGACATCTTCTTGCAAAATGTATTGAATATATATTTTTCCTATGACGGTTTAAAATAATGTTAACAAATCTTTACTTATGATACTTACTTTGAGACCTAGTAAATTGGATGGGGATCGGTAGATAAGGATTTTTTTTTTTTGGGGGGGGGGGGGGGGGGGTTGAAGACTTAAGAAAATAGACGGTTCCTCCCATCCCTTACAATTTTTGTTAGTTTTACAGTTAAAATCTTGAATCAGTGAAGTCACTATCTTCGTCAAAGCGTTTGCGAGAATGCAAATTGATTTTGTTACAATTTTGGTAAACGATAGATATGGTGCCTACGAAGAGGAACCAATGCCAATCTACTGTGATATCGGAAACGCAAAAAACCTTTTAAGACAATTTCGTCAAAAACGTCGCTTTTTTATTAAAAAACTTATATGACATGCATATATTTCTACATTCACGACTAAAAGAATAGAATCTATATAAACGTTAGACCATAGAAATTATCCAGTGCCCAATGACTGAATGTGGTATCCGCCCCAATGATTTAATCTTAATAAAAAAAAAATCAAGAAATATGATTCTCTATAAATAGTTGCTTTTGTCACATAATGAACATGCTTGAATCATGCTCCTAAAATCTCAATTATGTAAATATCATATAACTTATAATTACGTCATATAACGTTTATCAGAAACAAACAAAATATAAGGTAGTAAAGTAATACGCTTACCATAGTCATGTGTGTGTAAGGCATATCCAATGAGCCGGGCACCTATTTTCATGTCCCACGTGCAGGCAACGTCCGTCGTAAAACCTAAAAAGTCAAACAATTATTATTATCATTGGATTTTCAACGGCCCATCAACACAAATGATGTCATTACAAAAATGATTTACGTGTTAAAGGAAATGACATAAAAACGTCAAATTGAAAAGCAAAATTAGCTATTGATTATGATATCTTTTTGAACAAATCAACATTTGGTAGGTACGTTATACAAAGTCAAACAGGAGTCACGTGCACGTTGTTGCTAATGATAGTTGTGCATGTACATTATCTATGTTTATCCATGTCTCTCTATGAATGTGTCATATACATTATAAAAGAAATGTATACGGCAGCTCTTTATAATTATAGTGTAAACAAAGAACAGGTAAGATAGGATTAACATCAACGCAGATATAACAAGATAAAAGTAGGGAGATACCAACCTAGGCTGACAACATGAAAAACCTGGCTATATGCATCGTTACTAGCTATTGTTGTACCTGGCTATATGCATCGTTACGAGCTATAGTTGTATCTGGCTATATGCATCGTTACTAGCTATTGTTGTACCTGGCTATATGCATCGTTACTAGCTATTGGTGTACCTGGCTATATGCATCGTTACTAGCTATTGTTGTATCAGTATTTTCTTCACATGTATACATGTAGCAGATTGTGGAATACACATACGAAATATAAATCAAATTATTACATATATATTCTTATATACATTTAGACATCCATGAAATATAAACAAATCCATAAACACATGTAAAATAATTAATAGTCACTGTATCAAATGAATACGAGAGACTGCATAGACTTCATGTTACTCGGGGTCTAAATTATGTGCCCACATCTCCAAATACAAACTTGACACGTTTCTTGTTGTCCATGTTCATAGAGTGCAATACTATTACTATTTATAAATTAATTTTGCTGTTACGGCCATCACATTTTTGTTCTCTCTCAATTAAATAAACATAACATTTTCACCAATTTTACCATTCTGATTAATATTGTCGTTCAAATAATACATTACTATATAAATAAACATGTCAAGTAAATAACAGTATGGCAAATTAAGTCGAACAACTGAATCGTCAGACTCTTGTGTTGATGAAATCGGTAACCGTTAATGTACCTAGAGTATTAGCAGGGATGTATCCGCTTACAGCATACCCTTTAAATACTGTGTCGAGTCGTGGCCTACAATAAAATAAATAAATACATTAAAAACACCAATGGTATTGTATTGTGCATCACACTAGTATTACTCGACAATCAACAATATCAAAGCGGACAATAATATTAAATAAGTTAATGAATTCATATAAGATGATACAAGATACAAGAAATTTTATTTATAGTCGTATATGTGAAAACAGAAACATTATCTCTGAAGAGCTATTATTACGACAAAACATTAGAAAAAATATCACAGCAAGGTAACAAATATATAAAACTGCTATTGCTAAGTATGAGAGAATTGATTTAACATATTAATTTAAGATTAATTTAAGATGAAAAATGTCAAAATTAAACCATCAACCAATTGGAATGTCAAAGAAAAATAACAAAATAGTAACTGAGACTTCATCTTTTTGAATAACATAAAAACGGTGATAAGAATGGAGACAAGATAATGATTCAAATGAAGCATTTAACTTCTACCTTTACAGAGAGCACATTAACTCTTAACAGGATTCTAGACAAAATATATTATTCAAAATCATCAAAATACAGCTCAGAATAGAATTTAGTTCAAAACTTATATTTCATTCATTTTGACGATGACTTGATATTTAAATTCAAAATATCTTTAACATTAGAGCAGACATTGGCAGGTTTATATTGTGACAGGGCAGGGTTATTTAAACATTAGAAATATAAACATCATGTCGGACAAAACATCAAGCGTACAAATGTAGACGATACAAATAAAATTTAGACGATACAAATACAAATTTAAACGATACAAATAAAAATTTAGACGATACAAATAAAAATTTAGACGATGCAAATAAAATTTAGAGGATACAAATAAAAAGTAGACGATACAAATAAAAATTGGACGATACAAATAAAAACTGTAGCAATATCGAACGTCATGGCAGCAGTATAACAGATATAATTGTATTTGCACAATAAATCAATCAAAATGAAACTCTGCTTAAAATCATTGTCTATCAAATAAAAATTATAATCTTTGCATTAATACATAGGAAAAATATTACCTTTTTGTCTGGAATTCCAGGGTAATACTACCATATTTATCCAAATGGTGACCTGCAATTATATTATATTCAACATGAGCGAAAACATGGACAGTTCCACACATATGAAGTAATTTATATAAGTTGAAATAACTTGTTTCATAATTGTTGAAAATTAATAAAGTTTACATTTACAAAACATGGAGTAAGGTATATATAAATAAACTATAAAACAACTCTTGTAAAATGACGTATATTTGCGTTATCTGAGTCTTGAAGATTTGTAATGATATCAGAATGGAGCAACATTTCTAAATGTATGACAGCCTTTACTACTTACTATTAAGATCGGATCGTCCATGGACCTGAACCACGATATGTCCAGAAGTATTCCCAGTGTAGATACCAGTGACTAAAACAGAATTATAACATATTTTTTGTTTTGATCTGGTGTAACGGGTTTTTTGTAATATTTAACAAATTATGATAGGTTTAATAGCAAACACACATCTGAAAAACATGTCAAAAAACTAGATGTCTGTTTTGTGTAGAACATTTTTTACAAGAATTTGAAAAAAATGACCAATTTGGCGGCCATTTTGAAAAAGTGTATTTATGTGAATTTCTTGCGCTTCACAAAAAGCAAAATTTCACCTTTTTTGACACTAGATTGATCACTTAAATTGTCATTGTGTCACCATTGTTAAATGTAGCAGGTTCAATTTTGCTGTACAACTTTATAATGTTCAATATGATTAAAATAATATGCAAAAAAGTGGAAAGTTATATATTATTGGTATTTTTTTCACATATTAGGGTAACTGAAGCACTTTTGATTTTTGACCCCGAAAAAGGTGAAAATTAACACAAATAATAATGGGACAAAAAAAGAAGCACACCGACCCCCCATTTTTGTGGCTGTTTTAGAAAGAGAAACACGTTTCTTTTGATTCATTGAATACTAAAAAAAGTTTAATGCAGGATTTTTTTATATCAAGCGTTTAATCTGCAATAAATGGTGAAAAATGGGTATTTTTTCATTAAAAATAAGTGGTAGGGGTAACTAAAATCGCATTTTTGAGTAAAATGAATAAGATTAAGAAATTTTACTTCCATAATTTAACAGAAAATAATATCTTTATCAATTCTACAAACATTCATACATATCTGATAACAAACTTGGAAGAAATTGTATGAATTTGTTCTGCAAATGGTCAAAACCCGAAAATTCACCTAAAATCACCTATTGTGTTAAATTGGTATTTTTGACCGATCATACATAAATGTAGCGCAAAAACGAATACACGGACATATATTTTTTTTTGCATTTTCTACTATGCCATTATCCCCTTTTTCCAAAAAATCAACATAAGAAAAAAAGTTTATTACAGGAAATTTTTGACTTCTCAGAGGTGTTCATCGTTAATGAACAATTTTTATTATTCCAATTACCAAACTACATATGTTTCTTGTAATGAGATATTTAAAAGATATATTGACAATCTATGCAATGTAAATGAATGTAATTGGATTTTGTTTATTCTTTTTCTAAATATAGATTTAAATGAACAAGGTGAACAGAACGACAATGCGTTGTTTCGATGTAGAGTCTATAAGTAATATGTGTTTTATCTGTATGGCCAAAAAGACACCCACGACTTGCACAACATTGTGGTTCTATTTAATAAATGCCGATCTCTATCCGGAGTTGTCGTTCCTAACATTCACTAAGTAAGTGGAACAGCCACTGATTAGAAATTGTATCATGGTATGACTTACAACGTGGTAATTTCCAGCCCGGGGCTCCTAAATTCCAGCCAAACAGGGACCTTTTCTTAGATCCAGGCTTGCATACGTGTGTGGGGTCAATGCATTCCCTATAAAAAATATAAACACACATAGTAGTAGGATCATGGCTTCATGGAATACAGCGTTTTCTTATCTTTTTAGGATTTCGGAATTTTCGAGAGCCAAGGTGAACATGAAGTAGACAAGTAATTAAATTATCAATAGGCTAAATCTGAAATTTGTTTTAATATATTTCATATAGCATTGAAAGATTCATCCCCTACTTTAGTCCGTAAAACAAAAATGTATTGATACTAACCAAAATTAAAACAACGAGAGAGATCATATGATAAACGCATATTTATCTGTGTTTTCACTAAGAGTTATGTTGAAAATGTCTTTAACAGTTAGTTAGAAGCGTCATCAATTGCACTTTGTAACTTTGCTATGGGTACAGTGTATATCGTACATTGTAATTCCGTTAATCAAAAGCGAATGAAATCAGGATATGTTATCTTGAATAACACGTATCATATTCTTCTTACCATACGTGCTGTCTTTCATACGGTTCGTCACATCTGTATATTGCCATGTGGTGGACGCCGCCTGCTGGTGAGTGGGGCTGGAAGTCAACTGTACAAGAAAGCAGAAAAGATATTGTAAAATGTAGGTACACAAGTATCATTGTCGTATAATTAACACTAGTATGACTTTCTCTTTAATTCCATACAGTTCATGTTCAGAGCCTTGAACGTAGTTACAATTTAACGTTTTGTGCTGCGTTTGAGGATTGTAGCATTATGTTATGTATGCAGGTAACATAGCAGTGCTGCGTTTGGGGATTGAATCAATATGTTATGTATACAGGTAACATAGCAGTGCTGCGTTTGGGGATTGTAGCATTATGTTATGTATACAGGTAACATAGCAGTGCTGCGTTTGAGGATTGTAGCAATATGTTATGTATGCAGGTAACATAGCAGTGTTGCGTTTTGGGATTGAAGCAATATGTTATGTATACAGGTAACATAGCAGTGCTGCGTTTGAGGATTGTAGCATTATGGTATGTATACAGATAACATAGCAGTGCTGCGTTTGAGGATTATAGCATTATGTTATTTATACAGGTAACATAGCAGTGTTGCGTTTGAGGATTGTAGCATCATGTTATGTATACAGGTAACATTGCAATGCTGCGTTTGATGATTGTAGCATTATGTTATGTATACAGGTAACATAGCAGTGCTGCGTTTGAGGATTGTAGCATTATGTTATTTATACAGGTAACATAGCAGTGCTGTGTTTGAGGATTGTAGCATTATGTTATGTATACAGGTAACATAGCAGCGTGTTTTTCTCGCAGTGCATACATATTATCATTCACGATGTTTCAGGGCTTACGCTAACTTTCTCTCTCTGCACAGGGTGAAGAGTAAGTAGAGCGGACCGTATCGGATCGTAACCCTTTGTTCGCTTAGAGGTTTATTGTTAAAATAAAGTCATAATAAAGTTCATATAAACAACGCATGTACAATATATGAAATTAACCACTACAAAATAAAGATTATATAAATATTGTTGTATAATGTTTTAAATATACGTGTTTTATAGTATATATATATAAATATAGACTTGATTAGGAAAAAGAGGATATTTACGTTATTAAGTATAACGTATGTACTAATGTTAAAGTATAAAATGTATCTACTCAGCCCTATAACTTCATACGATTTATCAATACAGCTCATAAATGTAATTTATTAAATGTAAAAATAGCTTCACTATAAGATAGGAAGTTGTCTTTATCACTAGAGTCGGATTAGCTTCATATCAATATGTTTTATCTTTATTTTTATTCCTTTTATAGGATAAGAATTATTTTGAACTTTGAAAAGATAACTGTTTTTGTATCTGTTCCAAGCTGATTTAACATGTTCGCAATACAATTTTCAATCCTGATCAAAATGATAAATAATTAATATATATTCAGAAGTATTTAAGATATCAAATATAATTTATGTGAAAAATTCTTCATTTCTAGTTTGTCTTCAATACTTTTCAAGATAAGAAATATCTTAAAATATTCAAGATATCTTAATTTTGTTAACGATTGATCAACTTAAATTATACCAGATATCCTATATCTTTTATCTTACAATATAGATTTTAAAATATATTTTGATATAACATAGAATATCCAATACAAAATTCCAAATTATCTTATTAAATGTAAAGGATTTATGAAATGAGTAAATAATACATTCGTTTGTAAGAAATCCAGATGTCGAAAAGGACTTAACTTTGAAGTAATCGATTCGCCTAACAGTGAATGAAAATTACAGAACAAAGCAAGGTCGGTAGATTTCCGGCTGTGATGATTGACATTGGTTAGTTTCCAAATCTTCTATTTTAATGTTTTTAAACTTGTAAAATGGAAGATTAGCAGACACAAATACATATTTACAGGTTCCGTCTGGATCAATCATTTTACAATAATTTATTTTAATTTTCAGACTTGTGAGAATTCAATGTATAAAAAGAATAGTTATACCTATGATATAACTTCAATATGATATAAGAAATCGCATTTCTTTTAAAAGACATCTTATACCATATATACAACATTTTGTATAGGGATTTTATGAGATATCTTAAATATTACATAGTAATGTTTCTTATACCAGATACTTGTATATTAAAAACGTCAATCAAATATCTTACTATAAACAAAAAGAGATATCCAAGAAATCTCAAACAGTATTTTATATAAATTCATTAAATATAGGGTCGACACTTAATTTTTAAATACATATTGCACTAGTTTTGGCAATAGTTTATCATTATTTAATTTACTTCGTTCATATGAAACAGTATTATCTGTTCTCATTATTTCTCTCTCTCGGCATTAAGATGATTGACAGATAGGTAACCGCCCATTTGTATCGGTCTGGTGAATTAATGTATGAGGGCGGTACAGTATCCAGTGATGTACGGCGGCGTACACCAACTTATAGTGATTGGTTGTTCATTTCTCAGTTTGACACGCCTATAACTAACACTATTTTTAAAATGTACAGGGGTAAGATAAGGCGAGGGGTAAGAATTCAAATCTACGAATATATTTTTTGTTTTGAGAGAGAAACCACACCATGGAACCTTAATCATCCACACTCGTATACACTTATTTATCGAGTTACTTACAAAACAATAGTTTAGGTGTATTAAAGGGTTAATGTAAAAATTTAGCTGTCTTCCAACCGTCTAAAATAATTTTTGAATAGAAAAGTAAACTGCCGTACTATTAACACTTGTCAATGGTAATATGATACTTTGACACCAAACGAAATCCACGGTAAAGTAGTTCTTCAAGTTATATAAGCTTTCGTCTTTTAAACAAGCGGGTTTTGTTTCTTTGCATATCTACATTAACAAATTGGACAAAACAATATTGACTTGAAATGTATAGGATTCCGAGTTATGGTGTTTTCTATCTCACCCCTAAATCACATTAATGGGGAAAAGGAGTAAAACAACGAGATAAGAAGCCCTGCGGTAAAACAAAACGTATTCTATACATTATGTTAACTTTTTGACGTAACATATAGGTTCAAATTATCAGAATATTACAGGAGATTATATTCCATGTCTCAAAATGGAACGATATATCGTCGACCCTTAATAGTTGCATTATAATTATACAGATTCCTACGTCATAATTGTTCAACCCTTCAATGTAAAAAGAATTTGAATTCACAAATGAAGTTGTATACCGTGCTGTGCTTACTCAAGGGTATATATTGTTCTATATGCTTATCCAAATCGTATATGTGCCTATGATCTCTAATATCATCTTTGCTCTCTTTCTTCTATCAACGTCTAAAATTGGAATTTGAAGTAAGTTATTTTTTGTGATTCTTCTATCAACGTCTAAAATTGGAATTTGAAGTAAGTTATTTTTTGTGAGATGCCTCTAGCATATCACAGAAAACTTACTTCAAATTGCAATTTCTTGTCATGTACAAGACACAGCTTCATCTTAGATTATCTATAAAACGTAACAGCACACTTCGGAACAAGCTTTACTTTTTATTAAACTTCATCAAAGGGATCCCTATGTTTAACAAAACATCAGCGATGTGAAGAAAACCCGAATATGGATTTCCTGCTACATTGACGTGATATAGCTTCGTATACGTGTGTTATGCCGGCATTACAGGAAACAACTCTAATTGTTTGAAACAACGATAAAAATAATCAAACTTAAAGTTTATTCAAGTGGCTACATCTATATCAGCTTAAACTTATTAAAATTGGGATAAGATTATTTCTATGTTAACGATAAACGCTGTACATATATAATGGTTGTAAAGTAGATATAGAAAACCGACTCGGATAGAAATATAAGCTTATACATTTACCTATATATTCATCAGCTTTGAGTGGAACAGAGAGGCAGCCATATTCAACTTTCTGTAAGTATAACATTTTACGTATATTATTCTCCGTCAATGCACATTGTATATTTTTAACAATAAAAATAGCCAAATATAAAAAAAAAACGATTTCTTATTTGTATTGATCTAATTAATATAACAGATGAATAGATGACGAAATTTCTACAGTGTTACAATGTAACGCACAATGGCAAAGTATACATGTGTCAATATACAAGGACAGGCATATACTTCAATGTCAACACAAGGACAAACACACCTCAATGTCAACACACAAAGACAACCACACCTCAATGTCAACACACAAGGACAACCACACCTCAATGTCAACACACAAGGACAACCACACCTCAATGTCAACACACACGGACAACCACACCTCAATGTCAACACACAAGGACAAACATACATCAAGGTCAACACACAAGGGCAAACAACAGCATAGTTTTATTATAAAAGGACGAAAAATAGTCACCGTACAAAGACAAAAAGCACCCCAACCACAACACACAAGATATACCACAGTCACCACACAAGGACACAGCATTCCACTTTATCAACAAAAAATAAATATAATCGAAAATTGACACCGATACAGACTTATAATAAAAGAAAGCGAGGATCTATCAAATCAACAAAACAAATAGTTTATCAAGAAGCGGCGACGAAACCGATACTTTGGAAATAAGTGCGTTTTCCTTTACATAAGCTGAACACAATCTAAATCAAAGTATTCAATCGCATTAAAAACGTTTTAAAGTAAGCAATAAACAAGTCATTGTTTTAAGAAAACTTACGTTTGGTCCAACGAAAGATGACAGAGACATCCGCAATACTTCATGATAAGAGGATGCGGCACTGTCCGTGTATGGCAGTACTAGAACGATAAACAGACACACGAACAACATGGTGTTTACGGAGCTAGAGAAATAATAAGAAATGGCTTAAGGGACAGTGAATATATACGGCTATTGAAATCCGGGATTGTTAAAACGTATAAGATACCTGGAATCTCCAGTATAGTTTTTATGAGGGATGGTCACGTAATTTATTATGGTTTAACCGGTCTGAGCTTCTTTATATCTTAGTGATCCTTGAACTCGAGCACGAGGTAAAAACATAAACAAACGTCATCCAAGGCTGTTAGTTATGTAAATGTCGCATCTCCTATTAACCACAGAGCATTGTAGGCTTTGGTCGTGGCGACTGTTGTGACTATGATTGACACAAAGATACTCTCTCACATCATTTGTTTTGAAATGTTGGAAACTAACTTTTACTTAAATTACAGCAACATATCAAGATCTATATTATTACTCCGAGATTTCTGGAACGTCTTCTAGGTATAAAGTTTATGGTTGCAGAAGGGTTTTCTGTTGTTTTGTACCAACAAGTCGTTATTATGAACATTGGTAAGAATGTTCATGTCAATTTATGTAGTTAGTGTGGCAGATTTTAATTGTACATAAGATAACGGTCGCCTGCTAGCTTCGAGCTAGTGGGAATTTGCCTTTAGCTCAGTGGTATAGCGTCCGACTAGGAACCTGAAGATCGGGGGTTCGATCCCAAGAGAAAGCACACTATTCTCTTTCATGTTACAAACTGGTGCCGTTGGCCCTCCCCGTTCAAGGTAGGAGAACCCGTGGCGGGGAGTCAAAGAACCTGGGTTGGTGATTGATAAAAGGAGGGAATAGTGTAAAGATGTGCATTGACTAGGTTGCTTTACAAGCGTCAGCTGTAGGAAATTTCCCTTTAGCTCAGCGATAGAACATCGGGCTGGAGAGCCAAGGGTCGCGGGATCGAGCCCCAGCGATGGCACTATCTGTATCACTATTCCCTATCCTATTACAGGTTTTACATGTTTATTAATGTACATTGCACTCAGTGGTCTAATGATACCTGTGTTAACATGTCAGCATAATGTAGTCAGACATTTAAATCTGTTTACGTCGGCGCATGGTGATGAGTGAGGGTGTAACGTGACATGTTTACGAGTCAGGATTATTCATTACAGCTACACGGTGCAATACATATTACAAGTTATCAAAACGGTTCTTAGTTAAATTACTCCTGTATCCTGTTATAAACCGTTGTTTATTTGTCCTTTTCAGAATTCAAACATTGCAAGCGTAAAATTAAATTAGCCTTTTAATAGTAAAAATAATAATGCATTTAATTATCAACCGGATGGAACATGTTATCAAATGTCAACATGACCTGAAATTAACATTAACAACAATTTATTTACAAAGAAAAAACCGTCACCCTGACTTTTTTATGTATGTTATATCATAAAATGTCCGATTTTCCCCGTATTCAATATGTTCACATTACCTTCAAAGCTATTTTAATGTTTGATAGTATTTAGTTTATGGATATTAAATGTTTCCCTCATAGTGCTAGTTTTTCTGTAGGACTTACCTTATCGTTTTTAACACAAACACATGTGAGAGACAAGACGATATTCCATATCATTTAATGAGCTGTCAAAGATCCAAAGTTACTTATTTTGAAGATTTCAGAAGTTTCACGACTTTCAATTATAACTTGATTGGTATAACATCTTATGAATCTTTGTTTTTACTTAATTGATCTAATCTTGACTCAGTCTCAGCATACTCTTTAGTTGCGACATCTCCTCCTTGACAATGTCTCTGACGTTGGTTTCCGGTATATATTCGGAAACTGTCGTTATGCTAGTTTCGTTTACAGAACTATCAATATGATGACTATTTCCTTGTAAAACAAACTGAAAACAAACCTCCCTATTTTTGTATTAGGCATATATCTAGTTTGTTCCCTTTCCAGATTTTACTTGTCATATTCCATAGGCCTAGGTCAAATGACGTTAATGCTATCAATGGTCGATTTACATCAATAATTATGGACACATGGGAAAATATACTCGCGAGAAATGAAAAATGAATAGTTAAATGCACCTGCTGACCACATGCGTCGCTGGTAATAGTTGACCAGTCAATGACACAGAGAACACTGCAAAGCGATGCTGAAACGCCGGAGGGTTTTGTCCGGTTACTAATTATATATTTAATCATATCGTAGTGGGCAGCTGTGTTGAGGTCGTGAATAGTATTTCTCTTAATGGCATGTTATAAAGCTGCGCTATGGTTTATTAAAAGTAAAAATATCTCTTGATTTAATAGTTTAAAAATTTACGATGTATGAAAATGCAGAAAGCGTGGTTTCCCTTGTAAAATCGTATAGTTTCACTAGTATAGCATGTTTCTGATGCTTCACTAGTGCAGAAACATCTCGTATACAAGAGAACTGTACTCGATATTCAAAAAGGATTTCACATTTTTTCAAGAAAATAAATTTTAGGCATTATTTTTGTATTTATTGTACATTCAGATACTGCTAATAAAATACTATTCCGGTTTATTTTTTATCTTTTATTTTTATACGTTTGATAATAATGTTTGCTTGAAGGAAGCCTTATTGACATCAAACTAAAAAATGCGTAATCGACAACGTAGTAGGACTAAATTAAATGTGAACGTTTACCACTAAATAAAGGCGTAGTGGTATTCCAAAGATAAAAGCAAAAATAAAACATATTGCTCTTTTTTGTTGTATTTGTCAAACGAAAACGAATTGCTCATACTTCAAAGCGATTAATGACAAATAGTTTTTTAGATATAATTTAAATAAATTATGATATGAGTATTACATTTTGACAGAATTGCATATTGTAGCAGACCTGGACTTGGTCTTCAGTGGTTAGTAAGCAACAGCAATTAGAGTTGATGTTACTAATCAAACACAATCAAAGCAGTTCACTTGTTTTATAACATGTCTATAGCATGTGTACACGGATGCTGCATATAGCTGGCATGCTTTCAGAGTTCAGTGTTGTTTGAGACAATTATCAACTGCATAAATAACTTCTTATATAGAATAACTTACGTTTTTATCACATAATCGGCCTGCTATCCAGTATAGTTGCCCGAGTAATATTTTACATGTCACTAGTGTAATATACCCTGGGGCGTTTTTCGTTGGCTGTGCCAGTCAGAAATCGATTGTGACGTCATAATATTAACAATAACGTGGCGTCATAAATTGTGAATGGCGCAACCGATTGTCTGTCTCCGTTTGATTAAGCCCTCTACATTTTGACTTTAAAACCTGTCAAAATATAAGTTATCTGAGTTATGTGATAAAAAGTATCTCATAGTTTTCATTTCATATTTCATTTAAGATCCTATGTATTCAACAGAACAATAACCTTAACATTTGTCACACTATCTATAACAGTTACTTCACATAATAACACAATGGTTACGGCAGTGGTGTACTAGACTACTACCAAAAACAATTTCACGTTATCAACTTCTCTAGTGGGACAGAATATCTTAAAATGTTCAGACCTCATAGTAGAAATGATCACCCTATGATAAGGCACTGTTAAGAAAATAATGTTTGGAACTAAGGAATGTGTGATCGTAGCTTGAAGTTTTAAGATTGTCTAGCATGCACGTCTTTCGTGTTCTCTTTTATACATATCTCAAAGGAGCACATGCTCCCTCTCATCTAATCAGATCGTTTCTCATTATAAATCGATGATAAACAAAGTTTCGATTTTCTCACACATGTCCTCTTTCTGTCCTTATTCTAATAATTATAGTAAACGTGATTGAATCAATAGAGCAAGCTAAAATACAAATTACAAAAGAAGGACAACCACTTTCGATTTCAGTATGTCTCGTAGTTCTAATGATTATTACTATCGAAATAAATCCATAACAGTTCTTGTAAAATTAGATATTTAGATTATATTTTAATACCAGCAATATTCCTATAATACATCATCTCGCTTATACATGGACACAAAAAGCTTTTTTAAATGCCAAGCTTTACATAATATTATAATCGGCAACTCAGTTCCGGTTTACATCCAGCGAAACATTCACTGGAAATAGATAGCAATTAAACAAGTTCTTCTTGGCTGTGTTATATATAACAATATACATATACAATTATCATTATGGGCAAAGAAGTAATAACGACAGTACAGACAAAGAAATTTGTCAAATTTCTAGGGCGATCTGCCCCTGTATCAAAACAGGAACAAGAAAATTTACGTTTCACAATATAAAACAGAGACAGTCACCATGAAACAATAATACAATACAAAATAAATAAACAGAAGTTACTTATATAAAATATGCTGTTGTAATTGCATATCCCCTCGGTTAGCTTGTAACCGAAAGCTTATGATAGTCAATAATTCATCTTGAATACCTGAGATCAAGTAATTTATACAATCATTATCATATATACATGTATATTTAATTTTTATGCATTGAGTCTGGTGTAGAGGGAATGCATTCATGTAAAGAATAAATGACCATTTCATCTTTTTTAATGATAAATATTCTCAACACTTCAGAAACCTACGATGGTGATTTTATATTGTTTGTTATAATATAGGAATAATGATAATTTAATAGGTTTTATTTATACAAGACAATAAAAACACTTGTAGAAGAATCGTTCAGATTTGGTATGTGTTAATTATATTTTACATATCGATTGAACGATGCTTTATTGTTTTGCTTTCTTTTTTTACTTAAAATAAATGTATAAATAAAATTTCATAAGTACATTTTTATTGATTAAAAATATTTCAGGTAATGCGCTTTCCTAGTGATGTTAAAACAGATATGTTCTCCTGATTTCCACGTGCTAGTTCGATAAAGTTACGTTCGAGTACGTTTTAGTTCACCTCATTCTGATAAAGTCTATCAGGCATAGGACATTTGTCTTCGTTACAAAAACGTGTTTTGGCATTATCCTAAAGGCATCAAGGGTTCTGTTTTGGACACCTGTTACACCATACTGATATGTGTATAAATACCGTTTTGTCCAAAGCATTGGTACGTGAGCAGAAGTGAAAGATAACAAGGTGAGTTTTTATCTGTAAATTAT